TTGGTTTTGTTCTGACCATGCTTTGTGAAAGTTTACGACCTTCAAGTGTTGCAACCCTTCTCACCGCACACTTTCCACCAGGATGTTATACTGAATCTCTGGCTAAGAATGGGCTGCTTCTTTCAGAAGTGCATCTGATTGCCGGGAAGGGTTCCCCCACCCTTTTCACAAAAGAGTTTCAGTGGGACATTCAGTTCACATCATTGGAAGACCAAACTAGGTCAAGTGCATGGATGGATGTGGGCCAAATGGGGATTTGTCAAGGACATTTCTCCATTCAAGATTGGCAATGCGGCAGTGCAAACTCCTGGTATCATCCCAAGTGCTGTACTTGAGGAGTTGCAAGGCATTGTAGATGAGTTGCCTGCCAAGATCAAGTACCCCGCGTTGGCTGAAAATGCTGCTGCTGGATGGCTGCGGGCATACTTTACTAGAATAAAAGGGAGTGATTCAGAATAGTAATGAATTTTCCGGAATGATATGGAATGTTTTGATATGAAAGAGCAGGTTGTGGAATTATAGCACTTTGTTGATGGGTCGCCCTTTTCTCTGTACACCTGAGCTCTTTACTGAGGAGCTCCAAACAAAAGCCCGGATGCAAAATATTTGGGGCAGAGTCCATTTATCTCATCTCACCTGTCAATCCACACGGTTTCAGGTCTGCCGATACGAGGCACGTCACTGCAGCTGCTCCAAACCGCAAGCTCTGAGTTGCACTCAGGGTGAGTAACTTTCAACCGTTGCGCGCGTTTCCACAGGCAGTCTCCTTCAAAAAAGGGAACCGCAACCTCGGCGACTCGGCGCGCGAAGAAGAAAGCAAAAAGCTCTTGGGGCGTCATTTCCCCGACCCCGGTGCCTACCTCTTCGAAGAACTTCCAAAGAAGTAACTAGTTGCGTTGAAGATCAGGATGGCCTTGGTGGAGTGAGTGGTCGAGAAATGCCGAGAAGGACGAGAGATTCCACACTCCAGGGTTACCATGCGCCAGGCTGCTGAAAAGGCATGTCGAAGCCTACGAAGAACCGGATGACCACTGACAGGGCCGAAGTTTGGGCTGAGATGCACGCTTAAGCCCACCTGGCAACTGATCAATGAACTGAGTCCGGCCCTCAAGGAGTTTGATTTTCTGCCGCCGATATCTTTGGGAGGTCTTCGGTTTCGGATCGCCTGGTTCAAAGCACCTAAGAAATGAATAGCGGTGCACACGCAAATCAAGACAGCGTGATAAGTTGGCGCAGGATAGGATGATCAAATACGCAGGTTTGTCAAAACGAACGAAGGCCGCCGCTCCTCTTGAAGCACGAGGACAAGCAAACCATGACATATCCGCGCCTGACCAAAAAGCTGGACAGATCAGCTTGCTTGGTTTCATCCATGGACACTTCTTGCACCGCAACGGTGGCAGGACGATGGTGAACCGCCTAGCAGGCTACGGCCCAAGCGCCGTGGCCCCTGCCGCATTGACCATAAGACGGGACAGTTGTTGAGACTGAGATGAAGGAGTTGCTTATTATTTCTATTTTGTAAAAGCACTAAAGCTCACGCGCAGTCACCCCCACAGTAGCTGGTTTGATGGATTTTGCCGCTAACGTGGAAGCAATTCTGCCCTGCTGTTCCAAACAAGTGTGCCTGCCACAATCCCAAAGATGCCCGCGGAAACGTTTGGCCAGTAGGGCAATAGTTTTTTCTGAAATGTACATGTTGGTGAAGTGGTCAAAAAACCCTTACCCCTGGGCAGAACAACGAAACGATGCATTTGGCGTGCAGCTTTGACCCAACAAGGCTCCATCAATGTTCACTAAGATGGAACCTTGTAAATTTGGAAGAGAAGGCCTGTGTTACATCAACTACGGACCTGAACAACAGTCGGCCAACTTCCTGGTCCTTGTTGATGAATTCTGCCGCCTTCTATGTTAGTGTAACTGGAGTTTTCTATCCCTTGCTTTTCACTAACATGGAAGTTGACCTTGCAAAATCGAGGATCCGCTGACCGCTGACATAGCGAAATCAATACTAACATGGAAGTCGAAATAGAAAAGCGGTCACTCAGTTGCCTGTGAGGACTGGTGGGGAGAGTATACCTTTTGGAATTTTGTTGGTTTGGGTTCAAGTCTGCAAGCAGGTCTCTACATCAAGCCTCTAAAAAAAAATCTTCACATGAGTTGAAGCTGTCCACGATCTTGAGAATGAACACTGTGAAGGAGCTAGCATCAGGGCAAGTGTTGTCAGTAGAGAGCAGAGCAGGTTGACACCTTACAACAAAGGCTTCAAAACATGTAATCATACGTCCAGCACAGTTTTTCAGCAATGACTCGACTTGAAAAGGTTCGAGTTTAAAATCAGTCAGCTTGGGGCAGCTGCTGGGCCATCATCCTTGTCTTGAACGAAACCATAGAACAAATTGCACATGCTGCTTATGGTTGCTTCACCGCCCTCATCCGTCCTCCCTTTCTGTTTTTGCTGCCTTTCTCCTTGACTCTTTTCCTTTTGGTCCTTCGTTGCCTTCTTCTTGCGCTTCTCCTTTTCCCTTGGGCCTTACGCCTTCCTTTTTGTTGATTTCCTTTGGCTCTTCGCTGCCTGTTGCTCTTCTCTGCACTCACGTCGTTTTGTCAAAGGCTTCTGGGCCAGACTGGTTTTGGGCATCTTTGAGGGCTTGCACACAGTTTTGGCCACAGGCCAGACTGGTTTTGGGCACCTTTGAGGGCTTGCGCACAGTTTTGGCCACAGTTAACACCTAAATAGATACAGGATGTTGCAGGTGTTTGGATACAGGTGTGACGATACTGTGTGGACGTTAAGATACAGTTGTTGAGATACAGGTGAAGACACATACAAAACACGCTTGCGCAACTACAACTTCGACATCTTTCTAATCTTCTCTTAAGGCGGCGGGGTGGCCCGGCCGATGCTCACGAAACGCGACCCTGCGGAGGTCGTGGGTGGCGGACGCCGCAGAAACTGCGCGAATCGTGTTCTGCCTTGCGAACCCTTCGCGGAGATCGCGCGTGTCTCGAGTGCTCAAATGTGAGACGAAAGCTCTGGCCTCAGAACTGTCAACTTTGTGGGAGCTGCGGCCTCAGAACCTTTCCGCTTACTTAAGCACCTTGTCGGCATCAAGATAACAACATGCAACTAAGCTGCATGACACTTGCCCATGAAAAAAGGGGCAGATTGCGAAGACAAAGGTTTTTAGAGACAACTCACAAAGTTGTCGTTTGAACACGTTCTTGGACTTGCTTGAACAAACCAACGACCTCAAAATCTGGAAGGTGTTGAATCTTGCTGGACGCTGTAAAAGTGCTTGTTATACAAAGTGTTTGCTAGCATGTTTTTTGCCTTGCTTGACCCAGCCAAAACCTGCAAATCTGGAAGAATTGAATCTTGTTGGGCGCTGTAATCTTGCCTTTCTATTAAGCCGTGGGTGGGGGCAACTGTTTGCCGTACTTTGAACGCATTGAACCTCTTAAACATTTGAAGGCACGTTTTGGCAAGGGTGCTGGGTGCTACTAAAAGTAAAAGTTAAAGGGGAGTTTTCTTGCGCTTTGCGTCATACTGAAGATATTTGGTTCACGCTGTAATAATGTGAAAACAGAATTGCCTTCAAGAACGGTCCTGGCATTACCAGGCTCAATGTCTGACATTGGAAGGTTGCTGAAGGGATCAATAGATCAGAATACACCGCCACTGCCCAACCACAGGGCCATTTTTTGGAAACATATGGAAACCATTTGTTTTAATGTTGGGAATGTAACATGTGTAAGTTCATTGCTAGAGACAGTGGCTTTGCCATCATCACCCATTGCTGCCAGCGGCCCTTGTCAGCGAAAGGCTTTAAGGCCTAAAACAGTTTAAGTGCAAAGTGGGAAGCGGAATGCTCCAACTGAGGTTCAAAACAGATTTGGCCGTCGTAAGAGTGCCCAAACTGTTGATTCAATGACACTACAGCGCCGACGACGCTGTAAAAGTGCCGCGCTGACCTACATCCTGAACAAGTCAGAGAACCAGAGTCCGGGCCCTGCAAGAAGTTTCTCAACAGTTTCATCAAGAGGCAAGGCATTTATAATCGTTCATTCACAAACCTACATACGGGCAAGTGTAAGTGATTATGTCAAAATTACAGTAGATCAAAGTAATTGAAAATATCTATATGTATGATATGTTGCTTTGTTTGTGCAAGCAACGTGTTTTGTGTATATGTATATACTACCTTCGGATGTCATAGGATTTAGAAAACATACATAGGAACTCACACATTCCCAAGTCATCTGCCTTATCCCCGGTGTGATAAATCCCATGTCATCAGGCAAAAAGAGTCGAACACAAGATAATGCAATGCATCACCAGATTGCCCACAAAACGAACTGAACACAAAAGGAAATGAACGCAAAGTGAAAGGAACATGACAGGCAATGGTTGCAACATGAAACGAACATGAAGGGACATGACACCAGAACTAAAGGAAAACGGTTGTAAATAAATGCGAAATGAAAGGAGAATTCAAAGACATGAATGCAAAATGATAGGAACATGAAAGGACATCAATGCAAAATGAAAGGAGAATGAAAGGAAATGAGTAGACTATGAAAGGAAAATGAAAGGACATGAGTGCAAAATGAAAGGAAAATGAAAGGACATATATAGATGCAAAATAAAAAATACACCATGAAACGAAATTGAAAGGACAGGGTTGCAATATGAAAGGAATATTAAAGGACAACAACGCAACATGAAAGAAATATGGAAGGAAATGAACACACCATGGAAGGAAAATGAAAGGAATACATACATGCAGAATGAAAAGGAAATTAATGCAAAATGAAAGGAAATGCAAGGAATTTCTAAAGGGAAAGAGCCTTCAGCAATTAATGTTACATTTGCAGTATATGAGTTCAAAAACAAGACAATGTAACTTAACTAAAATTGCCTGAGCATGGTAGGCGGGGGGTCTACAGGCGTCATGTTTCCTATGAATTTCCAATAAAAACAATGTAAGTTGGGGGCTCGAAAATTTAATATTACATTTTGACACCTTAAAAAATAATGTTATGCTAGACGCTTGAGCCTCAAAATAAAAACATTGAAGTTCGATTTAGGGTCCCCCCTCACTAATTTGTGGCGATCAAATGTATACCAATGTAGTAGGGAAGCGTGTTCTGGACGCTTGGTGTTGCAATTGTTGTATTTAGTTTAGGTCACACCTTTTGCGAATTATGGATTGCGCATGTGATTAGGCCACGCCATGGCGTTTTGCGCGGCCTCAATGGAAAGTGTGTTTGCGTGGTTCCGTGGTCAGTTGGATCTTGATCAAGGACTCTAGACGCCTAGATCCGGGCTTGGTTCCAGAAACTTGGTGGTGTGAAAGTATGCTCTTTGTATAGCATTGGCCAACGAGGCCAACGAACATGTTCTTCCACCAAATTTGAGTTTGAGCCTTGTGTACGTCCCCTGTGCTTTTGCGCGCTCAATCTCCTCACCAAGGGTTGGATACATTCAAGCCATCCAAATTTGAGTCAGTCCACTGTTTCAAGCTTCATAGCGCACCCAGCCAACCCTGAGTTATGCAGGTGCGGCCTGAAGTTTCACCACAAGACATGTTCGGCATTAGAAACCTTTGCGGGTCAGGATTACACACGGACAACCATGTCGATGTTGTGCGAACAATGAGGCTATTGGGTGGCGCATAGGAACTGGTCGCAGCTACAAGGCTCGAAATTGAAAATTGTTGCATTGTAGACATTCCTGCAATGGCTGGAGCTGACTCTGGGCAAGGTTTCTTGGCAGGACGCATAAAGTTGTATCTATACGCGGTGTATATACACATGTAATTAGATATTTAAGGGGGGTTCACGCAAGTCTGGAACCAGTGGGCACCTGCGACTGGATTTGTATAAGACGGGGACCATTCTAAATACAATTCAAGGATCTATTCTGTAGTGAACACCCAGGATGAAAATGGCCAAAACCTGAACATTACATTTTGTAGAGTTGTCATGTTTCAAGTATATAGTTGGCATGCAATTTTATGGAAAAACTGGTTTGCAGCGGCTTGAATATGTTGGTGAAGTGAAATCGCATTTTGCAGTAGACACACTGTGTGGCCCATTCTGAGGGTGTTCTGCCGGAAGTGTTTGTTCCTGCTGTATGTTTGGTGCAAGGAGAGGAAGACAAAAAAAAAAATCACACAGTATCAAGACAGAAAGTTACATATGGGCTTGCCCTGGTTGCCCTGCATTTTTGCGTCCAGCCCGAGCTTGGGGCTGCTCACCCCCGGTCAGTTTCACTCTACAGGTCTCTAAAATGCCTTGCCCAGCCTTTCTGAATGCTTGAGGCGAACGTAGGCAGACAAGGCGTTTTATAGAAGGTAAGAAATGGAGCAGGGTGGCGCCACCACCCCTAATAGAAAGTCTATAACATCTATAACGACCTACCCCAATATCATTTTATAGCCCTACAGTAGCCTCTTGTGGCTTTGTACTTGTGCAGTTCAGTTGGATTGTCGTTTCATAGGCCAAAGACTTCCAGCTTTATACGCCACAGAACTGCACCTGAGTCGCCTGGTCATTTCATTGATGGGTCCACTTGCCAGATGTTTTTTGGTTAAGGTTGGTCACCTCATTTTATGAATTGTTTACGTGGTTTGTCATTCTATAACCTGCCGAGGTTGAACATCCCATTCATCAAACATTCATTTTGTCCTACTGTACATAGTGCCTCGTATATAAATGGTCCAGCAATTATAGATATATACTGATGCTCCATTCACCGGGTAGCATTCTACTGGTATTCCAGTTGTGCACGTGAGGCAACGGGGCACCTGCTGCCGCTGAAAACAACTTCTGGCTGTGGGGCACCTGGGGCAAGAGAGCCCCTTGGCAAAGCCATAATCGACAGATCGTTGCTTGGCACCTTTTTGACTTTTTTGACGGTGCTTTCCTCACCTGAGGTAATCAAGGCACCCTTCCTGACTCAGAAAGTGCCAGGAAAGATCCGTGACATTATCATCGGCCAGAATTTCATCATAGCTCTCAAAGAGGACAAACTTCAGACATTACATAGGGCCACAGAAAGCTGATTCCATTTCTTGATTTGTGGAATGGAAAAGTCCTGTCGACATGTTGCAAGATCCTGAAGGATGGTCAGTTGGTGTCGTGGGGCGAAGACAAAGTTGGATGTTTGGGTTTGGGCACGGAGGACGTCAATGCAGCTTGGTCATAGTTTGGTAGCGCTCACAGTCCTGTAGAAAAACTGCGCGGAGGTTTTGAACGCGCGCAATTTGAGAAAGCATTCAGTTCATCAAAAAGGGTCACTGTAAGATGCTGAGGTACAAGATCCAAGAAAGATCCCGTTTCCATCTGACTTCAAGGGCAAGGTTGTGGATGTCCAATATGGTAGGCACCATGTGCTGGCCTTGACAAGCACTGGTAAGGCAGGATCGGAGCACCGCAAGAGCAAACAAGAATGGGGGAAGAATTCGGGAAGAAACTGTTTGTCCACTTTGGGTTTTTGACAAGTGGAGTAGAGAGTGCAGGAGACCAGGAGATGATGACCTCCTGAACAAACTGAGTGTCGAAAAAAACTCAGTGTGCCTCCTCCATCTCCTGAATGAGGTAATCCTAGGACCCTCGATCCCGCTCCGAAAAAGTCAATGTTGTTTGGATTTATTGGAAGGCTTTCAGGCTAAATGCTGCTGCCGGCCAATTTGATTTGCAACTTCAGATTTCTTTCACTATCCCGTAGTCAGCCATGATCCTGAGTGTTGCAACGCCTCCATGTTTCAACTCACTCACACGGCTCTTGAAATATACTGTACCAGTCTCAGTCTTAGTTTTTCTTTGGGGGAGAGAAGGGGAACAACACTAGTGTCACCCGTTGTTAGATGTACCAACGCAACTTGACCGATTGGCCTTAATTCATGCAGCTCACTCCTCATTTAGCTTACCGTAAGCTGACTATCAGCCCATGGTGATACATTGTTGGTTATGTTGGGATCCCCTAAAGCCCTGCAACAAGTTTGGGGTTGTTGGTGGGCGAAAGGTCAAAAGCTGCGGATTTCCTCAAGAAGCAGCCTGGCCTGTCCCCTCACTGAAACCCTTGTCATCACCAAACATCTGAAATGAGAAGTCATTAGAGCACCTTGTTGTCTTGAGTTACTTTTGGTTCTTTGTTATCTCTTGAAACTGCTTAGTTGTTCCCAGCATGGGGAAACGACAGTTGTGAGTCGCAGCTCTGTCAAAGACCGGAAATGTCAGGGAGAGCTCCTCCCAACCCTTTGGCATCGTATTTTCACAACGCCTCTTAGTACAGCAGTTTCTGTCAGAAAGTCCAACTACATAATTCTTTCTCGGCGTCTGAAGTTCCTGAATGGAAGTCACGGTCATGTCTCGTTTGGCGGTGCTGTTTTTGGTGTTTTGACGCAAGGTGTATTCATGGGGCGACAACAACAAAGGCCAACTTGGCCTCAGTGATCAGCAGAACCGCTACGAACCTGTGGCTGTGGAGGAGCTGCGGCGCTGGACCGTGATTCAGATCTTGGCCTTGGAATCCTGGAGTGGTCCTTGAGTGACGGTCACTGTGACCGTTTGTGGTCACCTTATTTTAAAACAATCAATGCCAATCTATGTTGCTATAGTGAAGGACAGGTAGTAGGCAGAAAATTGCGCACTCGTTTGTAAGCAGATCCAAAATTTAAAAGGCCACCCGGGCGTGATGATATCACAATTTTTGGAAGTCAAAATCTGCTTACTACTCCAGGAGAGTCCGCTTGGCAAACATCTGCTTACTGGGGGTGCTTTGGGTCAACTCCCAAAAAAAACATTCCAACGGTTCAGATACTTGCCACCATGCTGAACCGTTGGAAAATCTCCCCCCAACCCGTGGAGAAATAAGAAAAGAGAGAGAAAACAATGAACATGGAAGGCTTTGGAAAAAGAGAAGAGTTGAGAATATTATTTTCTGAAACTGTCAGATTTAGGCAACATGAGATAGCATGACAATCACCCATGCATAGAAGCACATGTTCACGACATGGCCACGAAGGCCCAAGTCCCCGTTTGCAGGGAAAAGCGCCCGTGCCTTTCATGGTAGCGGAGCTCTGGTCGTAAGTACCGAGCTCCGTTACACACGACAACACGACGAAGTTGGGGAGGTCGAGTACCAGGAGGCGATCCAGGGAAGGGCCCACAACATCCGCGATTTGGTTGCTGGAGCTGCTGATCTTAGCAGGCCTTGCAGGTGGAGCTGGATCGGCTACGCTTCAGGAGATCCAGTACTTTCACTCCAACAACATCACCCCCAGCACTGAGAAGGTGAAGTTTCGCTACATCCACGTGCTGAACATCGAGACCACAGAGTTCCAAGCACGGATAAGGTGGGTGAGAGGAGCGAGAACAGTCAGAGCATCGGTGACTTTGGCGAGAAAGAAGAACCCTTCAGTGTTGAAAGAGGTGATTGTGGTGGTTCCCGCCAAGTGGAAGTTCTTGGGACGAAGTGGAAGTTCTTGGGACGAGTTGAGGAGTTGAGAGAAGACACAGAACCAGAAGTCCTAGGTGAGCTAGTGTACAACTGGCATTTCTGGGAACAGCTGGTCTACTCAGGACTGGTCTTTGGAGAGGAGGAACCCTTTGTCTCCTTGACCTCGAAGACCTTTTACCCGGACGTGAGAGGTTGGAAGAACATGGCAGAGGAGAGCTTGAGGCTAGTGGCAACGGCCTTAGAGAGGCTGACCCTCAGCCAGCAGAATCAAGGCTGGGCAAGACATTTGAAGAGTCCAGATGTGTTCAAGCCTGACAGCAGGGATGCAGAGTTGAAAGGTTGGAGCGACTGGAAGTTCTCATTCATGAACTACGTGAAGGGCTTGGATCCATCCATGGCACAAAGCATGGACATGTGAAGAATGAGAACGGCTTCCAAGCATGGCAGGTCCTCATTAAGGAGATGCAACCTGCATCTGGCTTTGCTAAGCCAATTGTCGAGGATCCAGTTCGCAGATGACAAAACTGTGTCCGAGCAATTGCCGCAATTTGAGGCCTTGATCCTTGAGTATGAGAGGATTTCAGGTCAGAAATACAGCGATGATGCTAAGGTAGCAGCTGTACTTCTCGCTTGCCCTACTCAAATTCGACAACACCTCCAGATGTGGCTTACGAACAGTACAACGTATGAGCAGCTGAAGGACCGCATCATTCAATTGGAAGCGGTCACCACAAAGTGGGACAGTACAAACTCGTTGATGCTGCCTACCCGAGTCACAGGAGATGATTATGACAAAGGCAAGAAGGATGGCAAAGGTTCATGGAAAGGACCTGACAAGGGCAAATCTATGTGGGAGAAAGGCCCTGGCAAGAAGCGGAAAAGCTCAGACAAGGGCTCAAAAGGTGGCAAACAGAGCAATGCATGTCACCTATGCGGAAAAGTTGGACACTTTGCCGGTGAATGTTGGAAAAGAGTCAATCAAGTTGAGGACAACACGAACATCAACGCTGGAGGAGCCAGTTCATCGTCGACAGGACAGGCTGGATCCGGGCAGGCAAGTGGCACAGGGCATCAGACTTCAATCAAGATGGTGAGGTTGGAGACTCCCCCGGACGTGAACTCCGTGGAGATCTTTGACTTGACTACACCAAGGGAAGAGAGTGGAGCGCAACATCCCTGGCGCGTGGGGATGATTGAGCTAGCAGAGAATGAGGTGTTCTATGACATCGAGGAGCACTATGAATTTGAGGATGCCTACATGGAGTGCCATGAACAAGCAGTACAGGTTCCTGAGAACGTGGCTATAGTGGCTATGGATCTTCAGGATGAAGAGGATGTGATGGTGAAAATGGTCCGCATTCAGGAGATTGGCTATGAGGATGAGTGCATGGTGACACTCGACAGTGGGGCAGATGTCTCGGTCCTGCCTAGATGTTATGCTGGGACAGGTGAGAGGCAGCAAGAGAGAGAAGACTTGAGGATGGTTGATGCCCAAGGCAGAAAGATAGCACATGACGGCATCACTCGAGCGCGGGTTCGTGTTCGAGACAAGACGGGAAAGGAGATCGAATTGGTCGAGGAATTTGTCCTTGGCAATGTGCAACACCCCATCTTGCGCGCAGGGAAGTTGCTGAAGAGAGGATGGAGCCTTAACAATGGACGGAAGCCTACATTTGAGGCATGAGACAAGGGAGGTCGACATTCCTTTGAATACAAGCAGGAACTCGTTGCAGGTTGAAGCTCGAATACTCATGGTGAAGATGAGCGAGGAAGCTGTGATGCAAGGTGAGCAATCGAAGAATCCCAAGGAGGATGAAGAGGATGAAGTGAGAGTATTCGCGTTGACAGGATACCTCAGCAGATACGTCAAAGACTTGGAGGTGACTCCAGGATGGCATAGACTTCCCAATGGAGTGGCAGTGTATAGTGATCCGGTGGCTACGCAGATGATTGGCCCTTCAGACAGCATCGAGAAGATGTACAAATCTCGCCTGACAATGGTGAAAGGAAAAGATGGAATGTGGACCCAACTGGAGAACATTGAGGACTACACGACGTTGGGTGAGCGTGCATTCAGGAGGATCAGTCTGACAAACGAACCAGAGGACATTGACCTTCTTCTCGACGAGCAAGTTCAAGGACTACTGGGAGAAGGGATCAGAAGTACCCATTGCACCATACCCTTTGACTGAGGCCGTCATCAATCAGACAGAATGGTCAGAGGACGAACGTGAGGAGCTAGAAGATGAAGAAAAGGAGATGTTCCATGATGTGGAGAAGATGGTTGTTGCCGAGAAGAAGGATGAAGTGGAACTTGACGAAGTGACCTATTCTGAGAAGATGACAGTCAAGGAGCTCCAGATGGCACGCAAAGAGAGACAATTGGCACATACAGGAAGCAAGAAGAAGCTGCTGGAGCGCCTGGTTGGCTACAAGGTGTACATGGAGACGAAGATGCACGTGGCAGTGGCGAACAAGCTGTATGAGGAGAAGCGAAGGAGGCCAGTGACACTAGGACAGCCAAAACTGCCTAGCTTAGAGGAACAAGAGGTTCACAATGTCACACATTGGCCTTATGCCGCATGGTGCCAAGCATGTGTTGCCAGTCGAGCCAGAGAAGACAAACGTGAGAGTTCTGACAAGAAAGAAGATGCTGGAAAGAGCGTTATCGAGCTCGACTTCTGCTATACGCACACAGGTGAAGAAGACAAGGAAGATGGCAGAGCTGAGGAGACTGGTGCAGGAAAAGTGGTTGAGAGGCAAGACCAGTTCGGGACATGCTTGGTGATGACAGCAGCCACTACGAAATCGATCCACGTAGTGCCAGTACCGACAAAGGGGAGTGCAAGTCTGAAAACCATCACCGAGGAGGTAGTGAGATTCAGTCTTGAGAACAGCTCAAGAGACAGATGCACCATTCAGGCCGACAGTGAGCGGGCCACTCGACAAATATTGAGGTCGGCGCAACAGGTGCGAAATGTCATGGGACTTCAGACAGAGATCAGATTGACTGGAGCTGGCCAACATGCATCCAATGGACAAGTGGAGAGAGCAGTACAGACAGTGAGAAGAATGGCTGGATGCATTAGGTGCTTTGCAGAGGATCGAGCGCGCATTGACATTGGTGGTAGCTTTCATGTGTTCCCATGGGCTTTCAAGCGTGCTGCATTCTTGATCAACCGGTTTAGGGTCCTGGATTGTTGCAACAAGACGAGTTTCGAGTTGGCCCCAGGACACCTATACAATGGGAAGTTGGCAATCTTCGGAGAGAGTGTGATGTTCAAGAGGTTGGTCAAGTACAAAGGCAGCAACATCTTAGAAAGAGGTGTCTGGGTTGGAAAGCATCCATTCAATGACAATCACATCGTGCTGACCTCAAATGGAGCATATGAGTCCAGAACCATAAGAAGATTGTCTACGGCAGAGAACTTCAGCGGGGTCGACATCTTCACAGCAAAGGGACTCCCTTGGAGCTATTCTCGTCAAGGGATCTTGATGAAGCCTAGCATGCTGGACAAGCTCAGAAGTATCGACAGCCGACGTTGGAGGTTGAAGCCAGTGAAGAAGAGATGAAGGAGGTTGCAAATGCAGTGGCAGCAGGAGTTATCACCCTGGCGCCAGGACTACAAGGACAGCCAACAACACCAGCCATGATTGGTACTGCCGTCCCAGAGACTCCGGCTGCAAGGAGAGATGAGTCGCAAGATTCACCAAAGAATATACAAGTGAAGAGGTCAATTGAGGAGCAAGATGAGGAACATGAGGCTAAGAGAACGGACACAACAATCTCTCCAAGGAGGGCGCAAGACAAGAGGGCATTGACAGAGGAGGAGACAGAAGAACCTGAGAAGAAGCACAGGTCTGAAACAAGACTCCCTCAAGAAGCAATGCATTCAGGATCACAATTGGAGGCTTCACCAAGCGCATCTCCTAGCAGTCAACTGTATCCTCCATACTACGCAGGGCTGAACAGGATTGAAGCTCATGGAGATGAGGAGGTTGGAATCGAATGGATTCCAGACGAACTGTTGGAGGAGGAGTTTATTGATTGTGCTGGAGATGAGAATGATGACCCGCCTGAGGTGAGCCCAGAACATCTACAACGCTTGGATGAGGAGGCCAGGGAAACAGAACTGAACAGGATGCTCGAGATTCCAGCAATGGTGGAGACCGATGAGAATGAAGTGAAGAGCACAGGAGGATATGTGATCTCCACAAAGGAAGTTTACTGCTGGAAACATCGACTCGAGAAAGGTGGATGGTTCAGAAGAGCGAGACTGGTGGCAAGGCAATTCCGCAGCATTGACATTGAGCAAACATTTGCACCCACTTCGCTTATGGTGCTACCCAAGATGCTCATCCACTATTTGCTGAATGTGAGAAGGGAGTTTGTTGTCATGACACTGGGTGTGAAGGACGCTTTTCTCATGGCAGCACAACCAGAAGCAGAGGTGGCATTTGTGAAGGTGGACAACCGCATCTTCAAGCTGCTAAGGTGCCTACCGGGACAACGAACCGCAGCAGCTCAATGGTTCCATTTGTTCTCCACAACCTGCATTGAGTATGGGATGAAGCAAGATCTCATGCAGCCCACACTACTCTTCATTCCAGGTTTGCTGTACTTGACAGTGCATGTGGACGATGTCTTCATCCTAGGCAGAGAAGATAAGGTCCGGAACTTTGTGCAGCACCTGAAGGATGACAGGAAGTGGAATGTGGAGGAGACAGGACCGTTCAGACAAGGAAGCAAGTTCCATTACCTCAAGAGACAGTTCAACCTCGGAAGCAATCATTGTGATGTCAGATGTGACAGGAAACAGTATGACAGCTTTGAGAAAGAGGTCGACCTGTACTCGAGGTTCTACCGCAAGACACCCTTGGATTCGAACTTTGGAAAGAGAGATGAATCAGAAGAATTGAAGGGCGAAGAAGTCACGAAATTCAGAAGCATTGTGGGAAGGCTGATGTATATGTCAGGTGAACGACCAGATGCACAGTATGCCATTCAGTGCCTTGCAAGACACATGTCAAAACCCACGAAGCAAGCACTGGCAAATGCATGGCATGTCGTCTCTTACCTATTTGGAACAATTGGATATGGCATCCGCATCGACGAAAGGAAGAGAGGACAATCCATGATGGACTTGAGGATTGCCGACGAAGCAGAGGAGTCAGAGGAGCATCTGTTGGAGATTGTGACAGACGCTGGCTATGCCGGGAACAAGAACGACAGAAAGTCAACAACATCATTTCAGTTGTTCCTGTATGGCAATCTGATGGAGTCGAAGGTGAGAACACAGAAGGCAATCGCACTATCATCTGGCGAGAGCGAGTTCGTGGCTATGGTGGCAGGGTGTTTTGAAGGGATGCTGATTCGACACCTGTGGAATCAGATCACCGGCCAGAGCTGCAAAACAAAGGTTCGAAGTGACAGCTCAGCAGCAAGAGGGATGACACAACGACAAGGACAAGGAATTGGAAGAGTACGACACCTTGATGCATCATTGCTGTGGATACAACAGAAAGAGAAGGAGAAAGTGATCACGGTGTCAGCAATTCCAGCAGGGCTCAACAGTGCAGACATCGGCGCAAAGAATTTGGCCAGGAAGAGGTTGAGTGGTCTCCTATACATGATCCACATGGTTGATGCAGTGGGAGATCGTGTAGGAGAACAAGAATACCATGAACTTGAGTACAACTACCAGTTCAAGCAAGGAATGAATCGGCTTGGAAAAGGTCGAGATTTGAGGATCGGCTTGTTGCTTTTGCTGGCCAACATGGAGAGGAGCACAGCTATGAGCAGAGAGGGGAAGCCTGGAAGTCATTTTGACTTTGGATGGACTTTGATGTGTGTGTGTGCGCTTTGATTGGGGCCGTGAGCTTATGTAAGTGGTTGCGGGACTACTTGATTGAGGGCATCGGCGGCATTGGTACCTTCATGCTGAAGAAGATGACCGCCATGATCACGAAAGAAGAGGTCAACATGACCAAGGAAAAGTCCAGCGAGGACAAGCAGACCCAATCGACGTATGGGGTCGACTATGGAACGACTGGTGAGTACGAAGCAGAGCTTCAGAAGTACCAGGAAGAGTGCTTTTCGAAAGACACATACATAGAAGAACTTGAACAGAGGGTGAAATGCCTGGAAGAACATGTACAGGATTTCTGCATGCAAGCCAGGATGAGGCTTGCATCCCTCAGGATGACGCCAAAAGGGCGGGTGACCCATTTTTCTCCCCAGTGCAGATTTTGGGAGCACGGGTCGGAGTTCAAGATGTGTGAAATTTGCATGGGTGAAGGAGGAGTGTCAGATTTAGGCAACGTGAGATAGCGTGACAATCACCCATGCATAGAAGCACATGTTCACGACATGGCCACGAAGGCCCAAGTCCCCGTTTGCAGGGAAAAAGCGACCGCGCCTTTCAGAAACTGTATTGTTCAATATGTGGATGTAAAGCAACAAGAAAGGTCAACTCAAGATGACAGGATATGACAGAGTGATGGAAACCATGGAACTGAAAGGAATAGGTTGTATTTATGTTGCTGGGGTGTGCGCTGTCTTGAATCTTCTGTATTTTTCTATTCATGGTAATGCACACGATGCTGACAATGTCAATGATGTTGATTATGCTACACTGCAGTAAGCAGATTTGGAATCTGCTTACTGGGGTGGTGCATCCCAAAAGCATTTGTCCTTTTAACAGACTAAAAACCAGATAACTGCATCCGTTTTCACCCGATTCTTCGATGTTTCAATGAAATGCATTAAACAACTTTCCAACTTGAAGATGTTCAATAAAAATTTTTCTGTTTCATATATTTCTTGCAAAACTCTTCAAACATCAAGGAAAGAAATTAAATTAAGGAATTAGACATCAAGCTATCTTTACTTATACCCTGCAGGTTTCTTCATATTCGGGCGCACGTGCTTTTGCCATTGAGCCAATGCACAATCAACCCGCATGCCGAACCCCTCCACTGAACTGCGCTAAGCAGATCTGAAATCTGCTTACTACAGTGCGAGCTGTTTCCTCTACGCGTTCCATTGCGCTTTCTTTTCTGTTGTTTAAAGTAGTAGATCACTTTCAATTTTGTTGGCGAATGCACCTGCAGTAAGCAGATTTGGAATCTGCTTAATGCAGTATGCACTGTTTCCGCTATATAATCCCTTTCATGTTCCTTTTATTATGTTTTTTACTTTCCAGCATTTTTTTGTGTAACTCCACTCCTCTATTTGTCCTCTCCTGCTTTTCTGGCGCTTTCCCTGTAATTCTTGAACCATTTTGCTGGTTTGCTCTTTCTTCTCTTGTTTCCTTTTCTTTTTATCAGTTTCCTTTGAAATGCATTCCTCTTTAAATTTGAATATGTTCCTTAAGTCTTCTTGCGTTATTGAAGGATTGAATATGGTTTACATGACAACCAGGCCCCAGTAAGCAGATAGATTTTGTGGCGGCACATGGCGGTAACTAGGAATCTGCTTCCTACAGTCCTCTCGCCTGAAGGTCCAAAGTGTACCAGTCCCAAACCTGCCAAAATCCACCATTTCAGGGGTGCAGTAAGCAGCAAATTTTCTGCCTACCACCCGTCCTTGACTATATTCTTTCTCAAAAAAATCAGATTGAGGCCCAGGCTGCAAGAATTTGTCCTTGTTCTTCCAAAGCCCTGGTTTGGAAAATTTATTCAGTTTAAGCGCGCCAAGGATCACATGAGCTATGCACTGACATCAGATGGCATAGTGTACGCATGGGGCGACAACACCGATGGCTCGTTGGCATTGGGCCATGACAAAGCTGTTGTGGACAAGCCAGAACCGATGATGCGAATGCAAGGAACGGCCGTGAAGAAATTGGTCGCTAGAGATTGTGGCGGATCCGGAGGGAAAGGAAAGACAGTGATTGCCTTTGTTGAGTTAGCCGATCCATTGCCGCAAAAGGACAGTATTGGTGGCTTTGATCGTCCATTAGGAGGGCATGGGAGGCATGAAGACAAAGACAAAGTGGTTCTATCTGATGACATGGAGAAGGACATTTTTGAAGGTGTTGACCTCATGCGCCAGGTCATGGACAATACTCAGGATTGGTGGGAGCACATCCTCAAGGTCCGCCATGGCTCTCCGTACAACGACAACCCTTTGCAGGTCGATGACTTGTCAGACAAGAAGGACTGGAGTTACTGTGAGGGTCCAATAAATCCCCTGACTGGCAGTGCTCAATAACGGACGAACTAGCACGCACTTGCGTGAGAATAGAGCAAACTTAGTGTGAGTAGCGCCAAGCAGGACAGGGAGGCCACGTGCCATTCGTCTTCAATAAGGAAAGAGCATGCCATTCTGAGTCCGGCTGAATCAACATCAAACTTATTTCCCGGTTGTCTAAGTATGCATGAGCTGCTGAGACAAAGAAAGACTCCTCCGTTCCTTGGCAGGACGCCTAACTCCTTGCATGTGCACTAAAATGTGCGGTATTTGGGTATGTTTTTGAGTTCGCTGCCGTGTCTTCTCATACAATTTCACGTCCCTGTACTCTTGAATGCTTTCGCAAGGTTCCTCTTTTTGGTCAGAAAGAAAAGGTCAATGCATTACGGGCTGTCTTGATCAATGTGACTTCTGTTGTGGGTCTTGTCGGAGCTTTTGCTTCACTTGTCATCTGAAGAAGCTTCTGAGCTGAAATGTTTGGATTTGGATGGTTTCTGTACAGGTCTACGCAGAGCATTCTCAGGCTTTGCCTCATAGGGGACTCTGTTTCTTGTCCTATACTATCAATCCAAACCATGCACCTTCCCCCAATTCTTCTGCGTAATTAACAACGATCACCGTTTTGACGAACGACACCGGTCTTGCTGTCCAGCTTCTTGGACAATCACCAATGGATCCGTTCCCAGGATGCTGACAACTGCACAGCAATGCAGCTGGATACGTTCGTGGCTTTGGACCAACTGGAGGATGCGTCTTACGAATTAGACAAATTTATTCAATCTGCCCGCGCTCAGCTCTTCGAAATTCGCAAGAAGAAGGCCTGCTAAACGCGACACTCGTAAGACCAACTGCAGCAACGGTGCTGTTTGCATTTCCCCACCTAAGGGTACCAAAAATGTCAAGTTCATGCAGCCTGACAGCAATTCAGGGTTGTTTCGCCCTTGGTTAGATTGCTTTTGGCCGTGACTAAGGCTATCTCTTTTCATGGATGACTGCAAGCTTCGCATCCTGCACGAATTAAAGCACAGTCTTTCGGCATCGGCCTCCATTGGCGCGTGCAAGTGCAAACAAACGATCGAGTATTGCATGTTTTTGCACCGTCCTGAACACCCTGTGCAAAACCACTCTTTGGAATTATGATTATGGTTTGGATATGTTTGGATTCCTATTCTGATACATTTGAGGGCCAAGTTCTTCGGGGTAAACTTTAATTTCTCACATGAGTGCAGTCGTAGGCTGGTTGCACCCTGCGTTGTTTGTGTCAGTATGTGTGGTTTTTCAATGTTGTTCCCCAAATAGCTGCAGGCTGGATCGGCGTTTTGGTTTTGCAGGTGCTGCTGCCGTGCTGATGCTGGCGCTGGTGCTTTCGTTTTGCCGGTGCTGGCGCAGGTCCTTGCTCTGGATCGGCGTTTCCTTTTGCGGGCGCTACAGCCGTCCTGGTGCTGATTCTGCTGCTGTCGTTTTGCGGGTGCTGCTGCCGTGTTGGCGCTGGCTCTGGGTCGGCGTTTCGTTTTGCCGGTGCTGCTGCCGTGCTGGTGCTGGTGCTGGGCCGGCGTTTTGTTTGGCCGGTGCTGGTGCCGTGCTAGCGCTGGTGCAGGCGCTGGCTTTGGATCGGCGTTTCCTTTTGCGTCATGCCAGGGATGACGTCAGGTCATGCCAGAGATGACATCATGTCTTGCCAGGGCGGACATCTTGTCGTGCAAGGGATGGCATCAGAATCATGTCATGCCCAGAATGAAATCATGTCATGCCCAGGAGTAACCTCATGTCATGCCAGCGATGACATGATGTCATGCCAGGGGTGGCTTCATGTCATGCCAATTGGATCCAGTTGGCATCAGTTGCATCATGCCAGGGATGACATCATGTCATGCCCAGAATGACATCATGTCATGCCCAGGCAAGACATCATGACGTTGAATCGGGTGATAACGCTGCAATTTGAAGGCCTTAAGGCTTAAGCGACAACGAACTCACGTTTTTCACGTTGACGTGTGGGTTTTTGTTTTTTTGTGGTATCCGCTCCTCCTTCCTCCTCCTCCCGCCTCCCGCTTGCCACCAGCCGATTGCCACCAACCTTTTGCCACCGACCAACTGCCACCCACCAATTGTCAACAACCAATTGTCATCAACCAATTGCCATCAACCAATTGCCGCCAACTAATTGTCACCCACCAATTGCCACCAACAAATTGCCACCAACGAATTGTCACCAACCAATTGCCACCAACCCATTGTCACCAAGCAACTGTCACCAACCAAATGCTACCAACCAATTGTCACCAACCAATTGTCACCAACCAGTTGTCATCAACCAGTTGTCACCAACCAGTTGTCATCAACCAGTTGTCACCAACCAATTGCTACCCACCACGTGCTACCAACCAATTGTCACCAACCAATTGTCACCAACCAATTGTCATCAACCAATTGTCACGAACAAATTGTTACCAGCCAATTGCTACCAGCCAATTGCCACCAACCAACTGCCACCCACCAATTGTCAAATGTCCACCAACCATTTGCCACCAACAAATTTCCACCAACCAATTGCCACCCACCAATCGCTACGTGGCAGGCGCAGCGCTTTGGTGTTCTCCGTCGGATGTAAGCCCCGGTGCTGCTGAGTCTCCGCCGCTGTGCTGCTGCGATTTGTGTGGCAGGCGCAGCACTAAGCATCAGTTGCTTAACAGTTACCGTGAGAACCCCTAGTGTCCACACTGTTTGGGGAACCAATCATAAGAAGCCACGGCGCCAGTACGATTGAAGGAAATTCGCATATCGCAGGGTGGAGTTGATCCACTGACGGGGAGGCCCCCCTTATCATACAGAATCGAGGTTCGCGAGCCCAAAGTCATGGCGCGTGGGAGGATCCTGCCCTCTAGCTAAATTGCCAATTGAACTCAGGTGGCTGAAGCTACCTTTCGTGATAAAAATTCCTTGACAGTTTGCTTGTATTTACGGCAGCCTAGTGCCCTTTAAAAGGAAATTGAATTGCACCTTCGCGGCGCCTTCCTCCTCTTTTCTTTACCATCGGGTGGCTCAAAAAGGTCTGCTACCCTGGAATGGTACTTTCCTCTAAGCTTTACATTGGAATTGCTCATCTCCTGCAAAATTTACCCTCTGCTGACAAAAGGCCTGCTACCTTGGAATGGCTTCTGCCTCCTCTAAATTTTATCATCTCGGGTGGGTCACAAAAGGTCTGCTATATACCTTGGAATGGTCCCCGTTTTACTTTTACATGGGTAACAAATTATGCGAACGGAAAACCTCACATGTTAACAACTTCACCAGACACAGGAGCGGACAATTGGTGGTTGGTGGGGGACAATTGGTCAGTGGCAATTGGTTGGTGGCAATTGGCTGCGCCTACCACACAAATCAGAGCGGCGCAAAAACAAATGCCACACGAATCACAGCGGCACAGAGGCGGAGACCCAGCAGCACCGGGGCGTACATCCGATCCTGGAGAACACCAAAGTGCCGCGCCTGCCACGCAAATTCAGAGCGGCGCAGACGCAGATGTCACACAAATCACAGCGGAAAAGCGGCGGAGGCCCGCCCCATGGCGAACACCAAATTGCTGAAATCAAAGCGGCGCAAACGCAAATGCCACACAAATCACGGCGGCGCAGCGGCGGAGACACAGCAGCGCCGGGCGTAGTGCGGCTAATTCGCTGCTATTTACAGTACATTCATGCCTCTCGACATCGTCAAGGCTCACAAAGTCTGCCTGCCAGCCAAGGGAAACCTCGTGGTTTGGTGCTCCAAAGTCGACTTTTCGTGACAGGCGCAAGGGATCGGAGCTGTTTTACTTCGAAATGCAGTTTTCGTGGCAGGCGCAGCACTTTGGACATCGCCAGCGGAAAAAGGGCGGACACCAAAGTGACAGACCTGGGAGACTGATGAATAGAAATGCTCAAAAAAGGGCGGACACCAGCAGTGACAGACCTGGGAGACAAATGAATGGAAATGCTACATGGCCAACGGAAAAGGGCGGACAGCAGCAGTAGCGGACCTGGGAAACAAATGAGTGCTACATGGCACCAGCAGTGACGGACCGCAGACAAATGAATAGAAATGCTTCATGGCCAATACACAAGGACACACCAGTGACAGACCTGCAAGACAAAAGAATAGAAATGCTGCATGGCCAACGGACAAGGGCGGGCACCAGCAGTGACAGACCTGGGACATGAATAGAAATGCTGCATGGCCAGCGGAAAAGGGCAGAAATTAGCAGCGACAGACATGGGAGACAAAAGAAGCGGGAGAAAATGGGAGACACATGCAAGGAAGTGGGAGACAAGCCAGCCGGGAAGCGGACCAGCCGGAACCCGACCACAAGCACCCAGACACATGAAAAGAACTGGGAGACAAATGAAAAGAACTGGGGAACCCGACCAGACCATCCAGCACCAAGGCGACCATTCTTTAAAGCATTGAGAACCCCTGACAGTAAACTGTTTGGGGAATGAATAGAAATGCTGCATGGCCAGCGGAAAAGGGCGGACATGAGCAGCAGACCTGGAAAACGCATGAATAGAAATGTTGCGCAGTGACAGACCTGGGAGACTAATGAATAGAAATGCTGCATGGCCGACGGAAAGCTGCATTGCCTGCGGAAAAGGGCAGACACCAGCAGTGACAGACCTCGGAGACAAATGGATAGAAATGCTACATGGCCAACGGAAAAGGGCGGACACCAAACGAATAGAAATGCTTCATGGCCAACGGACAAGGGCGGACACCACCAGTGACAGACCTGCAAATGAATAGAAATGCTACATGGCACCAGCAGTGACGGACCTGGGAGACAAATGAATAGAAATGCTTCATGGCCCTGAGGACTGGACATAGTAGTAGCACTGCAGACGGAGACAGGCGTCTCTGATTCACCCGCCTCAGTGGCATCAGCCTCTTCCGTGGCATCCGACTGCATAGTCTGATTTTCTTGGTTGTCCTCCGTATTGACATCAATGGGAGGGCCTCGGTCATGCGGGCCAGTAACAGCCCTCACGGAGGAGGCCAAGAGACGCTGCATGGCCAGCGGAAAAGGGCGGACACTGGCAGTGACAGACCTGGGAGACAAATAAATGAATAGAAATGCTACACGGCCAGGCGATAGACTAATTTTGTGTGGCCGGCGGCCGGTGGCCGGTAGCCGGTGGCGGCGGCCGGTGGCCGGTGACTGGTGGCGGCAACCGCGTGGCCGGTCGCCGGCGGCGGCGGTCAGCGGCCGCGAGGTGGCCGGTGGCGGGCTAGCGGTCCGTGATCGGTGGCCGGTTGGTGCTGTGGGGCAAATTTGGAGCACACCATCCAAAGCTAACACTGCAGCAATATACCATGTCAAGCTGACCGCTCCATTGAATCTGCCGCAACAGTTTTTTCCGTTCCATTCGACGACGCGTGATGCATATCACTTGAATCCACGTCGCCGCCGCTTCGCAGCTGCCCGGCTGCGATCGCCCAGAGCCTGCAGGCGGGCCCTGTTGTGGACATCGCACATCTCCTGAGGTCTAGGTTCACGGGGTGGATCTGTGATGGAAAGTTGCCATTACAAGCATGTTAGAACCGAAAGCACTTCGCTCCTGAAGAAAAAGCTGGGTGAACCATGGGTTCATGTGGTGAATCACGTGTCCAAGTGGGCTGAACTGGCTATTTACAGTTTCCGCAACATCAGTGGGGAAGTCTGCCTGAATTTCTTCATTCTGAGGCAGCGATGGAAGGCAATGCTGGCTGCAATATCGCACAGTGCGAGCCGCAGCGTGGAAACGATCCACTATGAAGTTCGTCCGGGCCAAGCGACAGGCCACATCTGACGTAGACGACTGCCTCTGGTCCCGGCACATTAGTTTCAAGTGCCAACCGTCATCGTGGACTATCGTCAGGGTTTGAGGCATTCGGTGCAGCAGCGTCGAGCAGAAGTGATAACGCTGCGAAAGACTCTCTGCTCCATTGCACTCGTGCGCATCCACAGCAAGTCCTTCGCAAAGGGGGCGC